CATGGAATATGTGTTTTTTTGTGCTGCAAAGTGATATCATTTAGCATTTGTTTCCATGTGAAATATATATCAGTACTTCATGTTTATGGCCAAATAATATTCCATTGTACAGATATACTACAATTTAGTTATCCTTTCATCAGTTGATAGACATTTATGTTATTTTGACTTTTTGGCTATTATGAATGGTGCCATTATGAACATTAGTGTGAAACTTGTTTGTGAACTATAGTTTTCAATTTCATCTTAGTGTATACTCAGGAGTGAAATTGCTGCCTTACAAAGTACTTCTGTCAGTGTTTTCCATAATAGCTCTACCATTTAATATTCTTACCCAAAGTGTATGAGGGTTCCAATTAATTCACTTATTTTCTAACACTTCCTGTTTCCATCTCTTATTTTAGACATTGTAGTGGATGTGAGATGGCAACTTATGTGGCTTTGATTTGCATTTTCCTGTTGGTTACTGATAACAAGCAATGTTAATCACTATTTTATTTGTTCTTTTTAGATATGCATTACATATTTGTAAAAACATAAAGTATACCTTATTCTAATTAGGATGCCAGGCTTGTGGAGGTACATGATGTGGAGATTCACTATGAGGTGTTCATCTATGTACATAGGAAAGATAATTCAGGTTCATTATTTTAAAGAATGTCTATCCATATCTTTCCCCACAATTACCTGAAGCATTTGTCTTTTTGTTTTGAGGCTTAAGAATTTTACTGCTGTGAGTCTGTACCATGTACAACCAGAGGAAGAAAATCTTGTGCTCCATTTGTGTACAATGTGTCAAAATGCATTCTACTGTCATGTATAACTAATTGGAACAAATTAAAAATAAAAGAAAAAATAATTTTAAATAATTTAATTGAAAAAATACTTCTTCATGTATTGCTTACACAGTTTCTTATCAGATTATGATTTGCAACATGTTTTTCCTATTCTATAGATATCTTTTTACTTTCTCTATAGTGTCCTTTGAAGCACAAAGTTTTTAGTTTTTTGCAGTTTATTCCTATCATGGGAGGTACTACATATCCCAACTATTAACATGAATGAGCTGGATTTCAAAATCTTAAAATGTATTAATCTCAAAGCTGTAGTGTTCACAAAAGAAAAGCAATTGACAGTAGATGCATGAAATTGGTTGCCATTTATATAAATGTTAGAAACTCAACAGATTTTGGAAACTTAACATTTAAATGATATATGATTTATGTCATTGGCTTTTATTGTTTGTACTTTAAGTATCAAATATAAGAATTGATTGAAACCATATGGACTTACATACTTTTTATGGTTTGCTACTAAAAATTGTAGTTTAGCTCTGATATTAAGGTTGCCCAACGATTTTAATTTTTAACATTCAGGGCCAGGTGAGGACAATATGGTATTCTTTTGCATGTGGCTATGTAGTTGTTCCAGCACCATTTTTTGAAGAGTGTCTGCCCCATTCAAAGGCCAGGGCACATTTCTCAAAATTCCATGGGCCATAGACATGTGGGTTAATTTCTGGACTCTAAATCCTATTCCATTTATCTATATGTTTACCCATCTTGTAGGACCACATTTTATTTTTGCTTTGGAGTAGGTTTTGAAATCAAGAAATGTGTGTCCTACAACTTTAATCTCATTTTTCAACATCATTTTAGCTATTCTGTGTCCCTTTGAATTCTATGTGAATTTTAAATCAACTTGCCAATTCCTCAAAGAAACCAGCTAAGATTCTGGTACAAAGTTCATTAGGATCTGCAAATCAATTTAAATAATATTGCCATTTGGACAATATTAAGTTTTCTGATCCACAAACTTGAGATGTTTTTCCTAGTCATGTAGATCCTCTTTCTTTTATTTCAACAATATTTTGTAGCTATTATTGTACTTGTCTTGCACCTTTGTTAAATTGATTCCTATGTATTTTATTCTTTTTAATGTCACTGAATATAGAATATTTTTTAATTTCTTAGTTTTTCTTTTGGGTTGCTTATCACAGTGTAGAGAAATGCAGTTTATTTTTGTGTACTGATCTTGTATCATGAAATGCTGGTGAGCTTGTCATTACTTACAGTACTCCAAGAGAAGTGGTGAGAGAGGGATCCTTGTCATGTTCTTGATTTGGGATGAAACTATTAAATTATTAAGCTACAAGTTTTCATAGATATCCTTTATCAGGTTTATAAAATTTCATCCTAGTCTTAATTTGCTGAGTGTTTTATCACAAAAGAATGATTTTGGGGATTATTTTTTTGGTGGGAAGGTTTGTTTTGATTTTTATCAAATGTTTTTTTATGCATCAATTGAAACAATCCTCTGTGTTGACTTTTTATTTCATGGATTTGGTGTATTACACAACCATTTCCTGTGTTGTCTTTGCTTGGTGTTTGTATTAGGGTAATATTGGCCTTTTAGACTATATTCAGAAATGCTCTTTTAATTTTGGAAGTGTTTATGAATAATTGGTATTAGTTCTTTATTTTGTAGAATCTACTATTAAAACAATCCAGATCTGGGCTTGTATTTGTGAATAATTTTCTATTACTATTGCAATCATGTTACATTTTACAAGTTTATTCAGGTTGTATATTTACTTCTCAATCAATTTCTGTAGTTTCTGTCTTTTAGGATTTTCTGCACAAATTATATGTGAATAATCAAATTGTTAGAATTCTTTCATAATCCCTCTCCAATGTTAGTAATAAATTCTCCTTTATTTCTCTTGCTATTCATTTCTTTTTAATATTTATTTTATTTTTTAATTAACATGTATGAGTTATGCAAATAAATGGGGTTCCCTGTGATGTCTCAATACATATACACAGCATACACAAATGAAATAGAGCCTTTCTTTATCCACCTTCTGCCATAGCCCTTTCCAACCTTTAATAATCACTATTACACATTCAGGTCAAATATTTTTACCTTCCACATATGAGAAAGAACATGTGGTACTTGTACTGATGTGTCTAGTTTAGTTCATAAGCTGAATGTCCTCTAATTCCATCCACTTTTAGCTACAAAATACAGGATTTCATTCTTCT